ATATATATATATGTACACGTACTAGGTGTTGTGGTGACTAGAGTGTTTCGAGCAAACGACGGGTTCAAGGCCGGTCTCGTAATTAATAAAAAAATAAAAAAAATAAAAAATTAAAAACCACGCCTTGTGCCTTTGTACGTACAAATAAGTTACGTGTATTTTTCTTTTCGTTTCATAGATTGTGAGCTGAAAAAAAAGAAATACAGTTGTAACGAATTGTTGTTGAGGCAAAAATACGAAGGAACGTTACACGAGCAAAGTGAGTGTACCTACAAAAATATATGTGTACTCGGGCAAAAACACTTGACTCGATCTCCAAGTATTTCCAGTAAAGTTTTTTTACCCTGGAAAAAAAGGCTCTAGCTGCTTTTCCCGTTCGCGACCGTCCGGGGAACTTTTTCTCTGATTTTGAAGTTTTACGCGTGGGTACGATGATAATGAACGGTAAACGTATATGTATGTATATATGAGCACTATAATCGCCACGAATGTCATTTTCTAAAACACCATGACAAACTACCACTGAACAGACCAAATGGTGGGATTACATAAAATTTTGTTTACATTCCGTGGGTTTGTTGAAAAAATAAAATATCAGCTGATTTTAACACCATTAGAGAAAATCCAAATTAATATTTTAAGCCCCGCAGACCTATATGTGCGTGTTTGGCTTAGCTATCAAATTCAATGTTCGCATTATCTGCAGCGCCCTGCAGTTTGCGATCGAGACAGTTCTAACTAGAATATATATATATATATATATATATATATATGGGTAAAAAAAAAGCAATGATCTTATGGTCTACCTCGCAATAAGTATTGTACGCTTTGTAAAAATTAAATAACGACGATTCGAGATATGTTGAATCTCAAACCTTAATCTTAAAAGCCGTCTTGTCGAGTCTCTGTGAAATCCTACGCAAACGTCAAAAATCGGCGTTCACGCGTACAGTATACAAATGAGCAATAGCAATAATAGTAATAATAAAAGTAATAAAATCAACCCGCAAAAGTATATGATAGTAAAAAAAATCATCAACTTATAGGCTCGCCCAAAAAATATCGAGCAATTATGTGATTTTACAATAAAATCCTGCACATCATCCTTTTCTCGCTTTCTCTACAGTTGAAGGATAAAAGAACTGGGTAAACGATAACTGTTGATTGTTCAAATCATTTAAAAAAAAAATCAAAGTTACCTACTTTTGGACCAATATGGATTGTTGTGTTAACTTTTCGAGTCATTTGTCCGGAAGTTACCCCAAAAATCATCATGCTATTGAACAAAGAAGAAAAAACAAACAGTCTCACTTAAAGCTCACCCATGGTTCGTTTCCTATATAGTATTACATTCTCTCTCAAAAGCGAGGGCAATAGTCGGATCATCAATCTGGACTCTTCCCTTGGATCTCGACACTTCTCGCCCCGCAACTTTTGTTATGTATTTACACAATTAACACGCACCCCTTTGACAACACCCGTCCACGTGTACATAACATATTGCGTCAAAGTTCATCATCATCGATTCTCGGTTCAGAAAAATATTAACTGATATACATGTGTCGGCGCCAAAGGCAGCCGGCGACCGCTTTCCGGCAAATGGCCCGTACAACACGTGGTACAATGATTACGCAACCCGCAGAGGAAAATACCTATACGATTTCGATCCGTAAACGCGTCCCGCAATCCATGCGGAGCCGCGCGCATGTATATAAGGAGCCAGCCTTAGCTCATCCCGACACACAAACACACGCACGCACAGAGTCAATGGATACACTCGCGCGGATCATGCATCAGCCTCTCCGTCGAAGAGGGTATACAAATATACAATATAATTATGGTGCACGACGAGGGAAACAACAGTATATAGGTTTTTAGCTCGCGTCGGTGGTCTGGCGGTGCTTATCTATCAGCAGCGCCTCGTCGACGACTACCACGCCCAGCGCGTCCTCGTGCTTCCCCGGCGCGAAGCAAGACTCGCCGTTCGGCCTGGCCAGCAGGTACTCCTTCTCCACGACCTTGAGGTTCGCCATCTCCTCGGCCGTACCCCCCTCGTTGTCCCTGTCCTCGACGAAATTAATACTACCTGCCCTGTAAAACACTATTATGTCCACCAAGAAGGCCAACGCCATTATGCTCCCCGTTGTACCTGCAATGGGCCGTTTAAGGGTTTGTCGTTGGCTAAGTATATATATATAATTTGTACATGTATATGGATTGGTGCGAGAGCTCACCGTGGAAGAACATCCTGAAGACGTTGGAGTCGTACAGCCAGCATGCCCCTCGCTCGCCGCACGACCACTCCCAGACGAGGCAGGCAGAGTCCACCACCGCCCCGTACACCACCGGGCATGGAACGTTACCTAAAACAAACCACATTAGTCACGTGTACACACACTACTGTCGATGAGTCCCAAAGTTTTCGTTTTACCGAATAGGCCAATGGCGAATTGTATGAGGCCGAGGGCCATGGCCTTGTCGCGCGGGTCGACGCACCTCAGGATCAGCAGCATCGAGCCGACCTCGCTCGTCGAGTGTATGAACACGAAGAGCGAGAACAGGCCCACGTAGATGTAAAAGTTGTTGCAGTCGAGCGGACAGTAGCCGGTCTTGGCGGTGCCCGGCATGGCCGCCGGTAGCCTCAGGGACTGGTTCGCGGCGCCGGCTCCAATGCACTGGCAGTCGGTAAACTAGAGAGACGAGCCGAGTTAATTTTAACATGCACAAATGAGACACCCAGGGTGTTTAGGGGGGAAGACTAAGTATACTCGCTTACGTTGACGACTCTGCCGTCCGAGACCGTGTAGTTGGAGCAGCCGGCGTGGCAGGCCGAGAAGTAAGTCTTGCCATCGACACCGCAGATCGGGCTGAACTTGTTTTGGTCGCACTCGCAAGTGGTGTCGCACACCGGATCGAACTTGGAAATTCTATAAGCAGAGGCGGTGGGGCAATGAGCGCCAATAATATACAGGTATATGTTTGTGAAAATTGGTGGGATCTTTTATACCCTTGGCCGTTGGTAGTGATACCGGTGAAGTCGTTCATGGTGCAGCCGACGAACATGAGTATGCCCATACCGATGGCGTAGGCGACCGCGGTGAAGGCGATCCAGGCGGCGACGAAGCGCGCGTTGGGCTTGAACTTTATGATGAAGAAGCCGCTGACGATGATGCCCAAGCCCATGACGAGGATACCCCCGATACCCGAGACGAAGTTGGCGTTGTGGGCGGCCAGCCGGAATTGGCTCTCCAGGTACTTGGGTAGGAACGTGTAGAGGCCGGCGATCGGCAGGAGATGGAGGACGCTGCTGGCCGTGCGCAGCATGAGGATGTCGTTCTTCAGCAGGCGTTTCACGGATTTTGGAAAATCTGTGGATTATTTAGACGTTTTTTTTTTTTTTTTTTGTTTTTTTTTCTCATCACAAAATATATCACGAACGCTTCAAGCGCCTTTTTTTCCTCTTAAAGGCATGGTTTAACAATAATCGATACAAGTACCACAGTGGACCCATATTTTGGGACTTGATTCTCCTGAAAAACTCTTCGAGGCTCTTTGAGTAACATCACACTCTCTCTTGTGATTATAATACACATGCATGTAGTCAGTTGGGTCTCCGATTGACTTTTTTTTAGTATTCAATTATTAATGTTATTATTGTATCGAATTGTACTTTTTACATTTATCATACGCACTTTGTGCCTTCCACGTGCCCGATGAATATCTTAAAAAAATAATTGCACGCGTGTTCCGTCCCGTTTTTCGGCCGTCGAATGTCGAGTACATTATTCATGCCGATCGTTAAAGAGCTATACCATGCGTATAATACGTATACAAAACATATATATATATATATGAACTAGTTA